AAAATAGTCGGTCTTCCCATCACTACTTTACACAGTAGCTACCTGTTGCTCGGGTGTATGATTGGACAATTACCATTTGGGGGCGGGGTTTCGCGAACCCCCTCCCGCTGTGTGCCGCTGCAGTAAAGTAAGATATTTTTTCAAAATAAAAGCCGGCGAACAACAAACTTTCACAATAATAAAACAAATAATAATTTAAAAACTACATTAGCACCCGATAAAATTATTGTCGCCTTAATGAGTGAGTTAACGCAACAATAACGTGACCTGCCAGTCTACTCTTTCATGTATTTTGATTAAATCATCTTAGTGAATATATATTTAACGTTCTCCTCGCAGGTAGATCACATGAGCCTGGTCATTTGAACGTTCCTATACCAAAAAAAAAAAAAGTGTGGGCACCCATGCTCTAGGCAAAGACTTCTTCGTGTGAGGGTACCACCTGCTGGAGGCAGTGTGTATCTGTTATGATTATAGTATAGGTAGTGGTATTTTAGATGATTATAGCACGTTATTATTCTTGTAGGAAACGGTCGCATTTCTTTCAAAATTATTTGTAATAATCTGTATAAATTGTTGGAAGTGATGAAGATGTTTTTTTTTTGCAATATAACACGGTGACATTTTTGTACAGTTTGTGATTTAACACTGAAGTTGACACGATAGGGTTTAGCAGCACCTAGTGGTGAGGTTAGGTATTGCGTCTGCTAACTCTTGGAAACAGCAAGAATCTTCTTACCAGCCGTTTCTCTTCTCTGTCGTCGGCTTCTGCATTTAAAGTAAAACACTTCAACCAACACGTTACGGCTCATGACGTCATCACCTGTCACACATATTTAAACCGCAATGAAAAAGTCTGTAAAAGGGGAAAGATCTGTTGGTGTTTTGACAGTCCTGTGAACCAGCCTCAGGATACAGACCATAATAATCACATGACCAGACCAGGAGAGGGCCGGACAAACCTGCACAGTCACTTCTCGGAGACCAAATCACATCTAAAGAATGTTTAAATTATACCATGTTGTCAGACCTGACGGTGTTTATGCAAATCTTGACCTAAAAATTGCAGTTTTTCCACATTTCTTGCAAAAGCGCTGCATGAAAAAAAAAAACGAAAAAAAACAAAAAAACAATGTGACTGCATTAAAGTTTGAGTCGTAGGTTTTTAAATCTCTGGTGGTTCAGTATATGAGGGTCTGCTGTATAGAGTTAGCAGTTTCAGCCACTGTGTCTGGAGGGGGGGGGGGT